TCTTTGTTGCTAGGCTTGGCCCCAGATGGGCACAGTCCTCCAGTTGTGACCTGATAACATGATTTCTCTTCATCTGGGCACCATATTTCTGTTGATGTGCCTGTGCTTGCATTAGCCTGTTTAGCTGCCACATTGTACTGCCAATTTGTGTTTGGCTTGCCATCCCCTAAATTCCCTTTTCGCTCATGCTGTGTTTGCGTTTTTGATATGCTTACTATCTTTGTGCATATCGCAGCACTGGAAGGAAGCTAGAATTCTCTTTGAATATTTATTATGCTTGTTTCAAAGTTACTATTGTTTATTAGAGCTGCTGAGAGAAAACTGGAGGCTGAATATGTAAGGAAAGGGATACACAAATTATATCCAGAGCTCTTGCACTCTGTTCTCTCCACATGATTGTTTGGTTTGTCCGCTATCAACCAGAATCTGGCTGATCTGTGTGTGGTATACTGCCTGTGTCCTTGTTCATTTGTCAATCGAGTCCCTTTTGTCCTAGTAAATATTCATTAGTAATAAAAATACATAGTGCCCATCCCTCCTCTAGTTTACAGTGGCTTAGGATCAATTTTTCTAAAGTATTTCCAATCTGTTCCAAGTTGCTAGCATCTGTATAATTTGGAAGTGTATGTTCTTTATGATCTTTGTTCAGTCCCACAATTGGGTTCTGTGTCTAGACAAAGCTTATGTCAGAAATCGTCTACTTTGAGCACTCATCCATCATTGCCTAAGGTCCATCTTTGCCTATCTTTGGGATTCATCTCAGGGACATTGTTAGTGGATAGCGGGAGATCATCTCAGATCAGTGAGCATTCCCCCCCCATCCTAGTTGGGTATATGGCAGAGATTCCTTTGGCTTCCAGATGGACTGTTATCTCTTCCTGAAAGATCTTGACAATTATCTGGAAAGGAAAAGTGTGATCCTGATTGTTCAGCCCTCACTGTCTGCCCCTCACCTATCATCGCCGATCAGTTGAGTGGTAGAGAAATGTGACTGAAGCAGATGGTGGGACTGTGGGCCATACAAGATGTGGCCAGGGGCCAGGAATTCCCCATATCTGCTCTACAATATAATTGGTGGGGAAATTGTATGCTTTATTTTGCTTATATAGAGGGATTAGTATCCTATCCCTGTATTTATTACTGTTGTTATTTGCCATCAAATTGCCTTGTGAATGAGAGACCTCCGTGAGCCCTGGTCATCATTTTTTCCTTTCATATCATGCAAACTCAGGGCTGTGAATTTATCCATCAGTAGTTCTTCTTCCTCTTTTCCTACTTCTTTCCACTTTATTGAGCATTATTATCTTTTTTCAATGAGTCATGATATGTCAAAGCTACAACAGCCTCAAGTTGAGCCATTTTGTCTCCTAATAAGAGTTCAGGTTAGATTTGCTCTACCGCCCATTTATTTATCTTTTTGGTGATCCTTGGTATCTACAGAACATTTCTCCAGCACTACACTGCAAATGAGTGCAACTTGTTCCTATCAGCTTTCCTCACTGTCCAGCTTTTAGACCCATACATAGAAACTGGAAATATCATGGACTATTCTGGTTTTGGTATTCCAACATGCATTTGCCATAAATTTCCAATGGCCATCTGCAAACCATCTAAGAATTTGAGAGAGCAGAGCAGACTGAAATCCAGGACCCAATGGGATATAACTACATTAATGGATAAAAAGATTGATTCTTATTTAATGAAGAATCCTAGCCAACATGATTTGCTGACCCATTTCACAACATTCATGTAATCAGATGGGTCCTACCATTTAACCAGATCATCACAATCATCTAGCAGCATCCATTTGTTTGTGCCCGTGCATCTCAAAATGAAGAAAAACCTAACATTGTCTTAATATCTATTGTGACTTTTTTAAAAAAAAATTGGCTTAAGGTATTAATATAAAAAGTAGGTAGCTGCATCTAATGATTTTTTCCCTGAGTAATCTGAACCATCTGCCTCTGGATACTAAGGACTTCACTGCCTTAATCCAGATTATGGCTGACAAACTGTTTTTGGCATACCATTTTCACTAGCACTGTGCCCTTCACAAGCTTCTCCAGGACTGTAGAAAATTCCATTTACCACCTAGTTTCTTCTTTCCTTTTGAGGTGGCTTTTCTTCTAGTTTTGGCTTGTTTTCCAAAGTGTGTTGTTCTGCGTGTGAAGAGGGCATTTTGGCAGGTAGAAGAAGAAGAAAAAGAAGAACATGGCTTTCCTAATGAAAAGTATGCTGAGCAACCAGGTGAAAAATTTGGGGCTTGGCGGAGGGGGTGAAGAAAGCAAAGATGAAGCCGCTCCTAGTGACCCAGCTGCTGCAGCCGGAATGACCCGGGAAGAATATGAGGAGTACCAAAAGCAAATGATAGAGGAGAAGTAAGTACACATTCCCATATTGTCCACCCATAACTGATTCAGACCGTCTCAGTTCAAAGAGACTAAAACTACAGAGAGTATGTGGGGCTGGAAGCAGTCTGTAGGCTATTGACTCTCAAGGAACTCCATTGATTTTTCTATTAAAATGACATTGTGGTTTTTACATTTTCTTCTGCCAGATTCTTAGGAAAGGAGAAAGAACTAGGATATCCCAACTACTTTCTTTACAATGGGGGGGATATGAATATATTTGTGCTTAGTGTTTCACACTGTCCCTGGAACATATTTTCAGCAAAGAGTGTTTGTGGGTAGATTTTGTCTTCATATGCCTTACACAAACAGTCCTTACATTTCTGTAAACGTAATGAATGTTGTAAAATCTTGTTCATGGTAAATAACTGGAGTTAATGTTCAATGTTACATGAGCCTACCTCTGATATTATACAGATTGCTTGAACTGACCCCCTTTCACCTCAAGATTTGTGACAGTTACACCATAATGGAGGCACTTTCATTTGCTTTACCGCAATGGTTTATAAATGATATTTGCAAGCATTTTTATTTCCCAGTTCTCTCGATGACTTCATGTTTGTTAAAAGCAATTGGTAGTTTTCAGGCTATATACAAGTTTTTTCCCCTTAAAGTTTATTGCCAAATATTTATTTTCCAATGGTATTGATGATCTATGTGTCAGATAATGCAGAACAAAACAAAAAGGTTTCATAAAGCATTGCAGCCATGCACTAGTACAAAAGCAATTGTAATTTCAAATCTCCGCTACATCATTTCACTAATGATCAATTACATAATGGTCTGCTAAATCCTACATCTAAGATGATTATGGGTGAAAGGTTAATGACCTATGGAATTTAAGACATACCCGGACTATATTTAGAAGTAGCTGGGTTGTGACGTGGACTTGGAAATGTATAGAATCTTAAATGCAACTTTCTTTTTTACATTTTACACTTATTTGACAGCAATGAAGTGTCTAGCGTGGCATTCATACAAAACCTGGAGTGAGCAGGCACTCTGCATATAATGCACTCTGCCTTCCTTTAGATAATGTCTTTAATAATGGGATTGCATTCAAAGCTAAATTATGTTTCCTCTTAGCAGTAAACAGAATCAACATGCTTTTCAAGACTGGAATTAAACCTTGTATTCAGGGCAACCTACAGAAATGTATGAAACAGCTGTTATGTAAATGGGTGATGAAATCGAGGGAACATGAAAATAGAAGCAATCCCCCTGCCCCTCGGTAATATCTCAGTTTCATAGCTGCACAGAGTTTCATAGAGGTTAAATGACTTCCCAAAGGTCATCCAGTAACTCAGTGGCTCAGGCTGGATTAAACCCCTCATGACTCTCCTATTATTCCATTTGATTTCCTTTTTTAAATAAAAAATACAGCATGCCCGCACCATACGCGGGCTCGCCATATGCGGACTCCATGTCATGCGGACAGCAAGGCTCTGGTAGAGTGAATGGCAGCGCATGCGCTGCAGCGCAAGCTGGGACATGCACCCATTAAAACAAATAGGGCTTGAGGTCCTGCATTATTTGACTTCCGCAGGGGGGTCCGGAACAGATTTCCCGCATATAGGAAGGGCCCACTGTATTTCCTATATTTTTCACAACTGAAAGTAATAGCAACACAGTCAAGCCACAAATAAGAGAAGGGTGCAATGGTCAAATGAGAGGAGAAAGCCTCAAATAATACACAACCCAATAACAGTGAGTGTTGTCTGGCCACTCAAGTGACACATGGTAAACAGCTGCAAAAAAACTGAGCATCACATTGATTTCTCAATCATTGAACTATTCTTGAGTGACTTCAGTACTTGGTAATGGACATACACATTGCCAGTGCTTTGAGAACTAACTTTTTTGAACTATGAGAAATATCCATGGTGTCAGAGGGATTCTGGGAACTGCAATAAAAAAAAGTTACTTTTCCAAGGTCTGGTGTAGCATCCAGCTTTCAACAGTAGAGAGTCTGATGCCATAAGGAATCCCAATCCCATCAGGTAGTATCCATTGGCAGTCTGCAGAGGTGGGGAACCTATGACCAGAGCTATATGCACCCCTCAGCCTATTTCCAAACTCTGCATGCTTTATCAAGCTCACCGATTTGTGTCCAGCTCCCATAATGCCCATCACTGACATGTGGCCCACAACAGAGTAGTTCTTGTTGTATGCCTTCAAGTCATTTCTGACTTATAATAAGACGAACCTATCATAGGGTTTTCTTGGCAAGTTTCTTCAGATGGGGTTTACTTGTCCATGATCTGAACAGGGCTCCCAGCCAAGTGATCAAGGCTGAGCACCCCATTTTTGCCCTTGAGGGAACGACCCGCGGCAATGGTGGCGGTGCTAGGTGGCACAATGGAATACATGTGCCAACAGCCCCCCATGTTACAATGGAGTGCTTCAGGTAATGGGGGGACATTGGGGCAACTTTGGTGGTTTGTTGTATTTCCTGTGTGCCTTCATTTCCAATTTATGGAAACCCTAAGGCCAACCTGTCATGGGGTTTTCTTGGCAAGATTTGTTCAGAGGAGGTTTGCCATTGCCTTTCCTTGAGTGTGTGACTTGCTCAAGGTCACCCAGTGGGTTTCATGGCCAAGCTGGGAATCGAACCCTGGTCTCCAGCGTCGTAGTCCTGCACTCAAACTACTATGCCACTCAAAGTATTCTTACCCATGTGGATCCGCCTTTATAATCCCAAAGAAGAGATACTGAAAGAAAGCAAGATAAGAAAGAACTGACACTTTGCTCTGGTCTTGAGCTTGGCTTTGTGAGAGGGAGGAACTCAATGCTGCTGTGAGATTAGTACCCCCAGTCCCATGAACAAGGCTGGCTCACCCAAGACATTTTGCTGCCTGAGGTGAAGCAATAAGCATGCCTCTTAATAAAGTCTCAGGGGGTCTATGGTGGGAGATCTCACAAGTACCTCTCTCCCATTTCCTGGCAGCCAATGTACAATAATTACAAACTAAATAACCATTTGCTGCCTTTTCATGACACTCAAAATCTGCTCTCTTGGGTAGCTGCCTCATTCTTCCTAATGGTGGGGCTGAGTCTGCCTGCAAATCAGTAGATCTGGCAGTAGGCAATTTCTAATGAAAATATGCAGTGATCTCTCCACAGTGCATTGTAAATCATATCATTGCCAGTGGACTTGTATGCAGAGGCCAAGCCCTGTCCTATCCTTAGGTAAAGTGAAGTGGCTAACAGAACAGACAGATGCAGAAAGACAGAAATGGAAAAGTGGTGTCACTCAGTAAAGGGGTGCGTGTTGGCATGCAGGTTCAGTCCTCAGTATCTCTGGATGTCACTAGGAAAGAGACCATTAGCCCAGGAAGAATAAAAGGTAAGATTAGGACTTTTTTTTGTATCAGGCCTTGCCCCTAGAGTTAACACATGATGAAGCCATGAACTGTCACAAATTTAAGGCACTTCATGGCACTGTCCAAAAAAAGTTTTATTCTCACAAATGAGAGCCAGCATGGTGTAGTGGTTTGAGCATTGGACTATGACTC